GGAATAATTTTTGGCCAGGCAGGGTGGCTCACGCATGTAATCCCAGCAGTTTTGGGGGGGTGAGTTTGACAGATCACTAGAAGGCAGAAGTTTGAAACCAGCTACGGCAACATAACTGTAGAGACCCTCATCTCTACAAAAAATAGAGAAGTTTATCTACTGTGGTAGTGCATGCCTACAGGCTCAGCTACTCAGGAGGCTTGAACCAGGTGGATCCTTTGAACCCAGGAGTTCAAGGCCACGGTGAGCTGTGACTGCACCATTGTAATCCAGCCTCAGTGACCGAGACCCTGTTTCTGAACAAATAAATACATAAATAAATAACTTTCTTTCCCATTAGCCACTATTATCCATTCTGCTAATTTATTCGCTAACCAGCTAAGTAAAGAGTAAGAACTCTAGCTAGCCTTTAGAGAAAAGTAAGTGCTGAATATCTGCATTTCTATCTAGATACTGAACTAGATATCCTGAAATCCTCTCTGTACAAAATGGGTACTGAATGAAACATAAACAGCATGGAGTGCATAAGGCAGCATGGGAATTCCTTTGGGGCTGGGACCAAGTCCAAGTAGTTGTGTCTGTTGGAAATCAGACATCGAAGCTGCCATCTTGTGTGTACCCAGCAATCATAGGTGGCCTAGAGGTCTGATTTTAGTAGTTGTGCGCTGCAAAAAAAGGAGACCAAGCTTTGGATCTGAGCAGTGAATCAGACAACATTATATAAGGCCAAGAATGACATAGATTGAACTCTCAGAGAAACAGAAAAAAAGAAAAAAAATTTAAATTTGTATTGACAGAGTAAATGCAGGGAAACATGTTTTTTTCATTATTGGCTCTTGGTAGAAGAAAAAGCTCTTTTCTAAGAATTCTTGGCCACAGGCTGGTCTTAATGGAGGTTGGGTGCCCAGTCTACAAGGTTGGAAAAATCTAAGCAAGAATTTAAATGAAAATGAATCCAAGCATGCTCAAGTTCCCAAGAATAAATGTATATTCTCTCTGGAAGAATGTACTCTCAAGTCAGGACATAAAGAACTGCTGGAGATAAAGTTCCAGGGAACATGAGCTCATGTTTCGAAAAACGAAATAAACGTGTAAGGAAAAAAGCTACCATAAGTATTAGTCTCCAGAAACAAAGAACAAACAGAAGCAGAGGCGTAGTGCCTCATATATTGGAGTTACCAGATACAGAGTGTAAAATAAATACATCTAATGTATTTTAAAAGTGAGAGAGGGATAAAAAATAAAGAAGGATAAGAGATTCTTTAAAAAGATATAATAGTTTTGGGAAAAAAGTAAAAGGAAAAGGATTTACTAAGAAATAATAATAATTGAAATGAAATACCCAATGGAAACTTTCATTACTGGTGTAGCAGGCTGTATTTGACTATCCTTTTGATGGGATTAAATATATGTATAAACATGTGTGAAGGCATTGGAGAGTAACAAAACGTCGATATTCGAGCCTTAAGATCAGGGAATCACTTGGGTGAGATCTACAGAAACAGCTAGTATACCTCTGTTCACTTCAGGACACTCCTCAGTTCGTAAAGAAATGGGGAAGAAGCCATTAGTTCACATCATGTCTAATGGTGTTACACTGAACAGTTTTCATTCAATTGTGAACAAGACAAGAATATCTGTTTTTATCACTTTCATTTAACACCATAACAGAGGTTGTAGCAGATGAAATAAACCGAGAGAGAAATAAAAAGCCGAAGACTAGAAAAGAAGAAGTTGCCCGTCTTTATTTGCAAGCGACATGCGTTTGTACGTAGAAATGCCTAAGCAATTTGCCAAAGAAGTACTAGGAAGAATAAGTGAAAAAGTTTGATTATAGGTACAAAGGCAATATAGCAATTAAAATTTACAAATGAAATAAAATTAACTTTTATAATGTCAAAAATTATGAAATAATTTTGAGTAAATTTAATATGTGAAAATGTATAATACCTCTACATTAAAAACCACAAAATATTACTGTTAAGATGTCCACTGTTGCCACATTAATCTACGGGCTCAGTAATATTGCAATCTGGATCTGAACAGCCATTTTTTTTTTTAGAAATGGAGAAGTTTATTTTACAATTTACATGGAAATGTACAATGTTTAGAAGGTCAATAACTACTCTGAAAAAGGGCAGAATTCAATAATTTGTACTATCTGACATCAAGACTTACTTTAAACTTACAGCAATTGAGGCAGTGTGATGTGAGGACAGACAAAAAAAAAATCAATCTAATAGAATAAAGGCCAGAAATAAACGTATACATTCAGCAAAAGAGGAAAGGCTAGTTTTTTCAAAGGCATTGTCGAAACAACTGGATATTCATAAGTGGGGGGAAAATGACCTGAACCCTTCCCCCCACTACATACAAAAATTAATTTAAAGTGGGTTATAGACCTATAGACCTATAAATTACCTAGAAACAAACATAGGATAATAACTTTACAACTTGGTGCAGGCAGAGATTTCTTAGAAAATAAATAGTATTAATCTTAAAAGAAAAAAGGATAAATTAGACTTTCCCAAAATTAAAAATTTCTGATTATCAAAATACAGTGCCATAAACTCAGACAAAATATTTGTAATATATAATTACATGACAAGGTGCTTTTGTCCAGAAAACATAGAGAATTCCTATTTTTAAAAGTGGCCGATAAGTCTGAAAGAAAATATAGAAATGGTTATGAAGCCATTTCGGGAGTCATCAAGGAAATGCAAATTAAAACCACAAAGCGGTGCCATTTTATACCCACTGGAATTACTATAATTAAAAACTTTGACAGTTTCATGTGTTGGTGAGGATATTCCCCTACATTTCTGGTGAGAAAAGAAAATTGTCAACCATTTGAAGAATGGTTAGTAGGTCTCTCTCAGTGTCAAACATAGATCTATTCTATAACAAGAAACTCCTTGGTATTTATCCAGGAAAACTAAAGTCATCTTCAAAAATCTTGGACACCAATGTTTGTAACAACTTTATT